ATATTCCATTGTAGTTTGTGTGTTTAATATATACTTTCAACATAATGACTCATTCCCGAAGTAAGGAACATCTCTAAAACTAAGCTCACCTGAAAGCTTGACTTGATACAACAATAAAATGTAACAACTAAGATGTAATATTCCATTGTAGTTTGTGTGTTTAATATATACTTTCAACATAATGACACATCCCCAAAGTAAGGAACATCTCTAAAACTAAGCTCACCTGAAAGCTTGACTTGATACAACAATAAAATGTAACAACTAAGATGTAATATTCCATTGTAGTTTGTGTGTTTAATATATACTTTCAATATAATGACACATCCCCAAAGTAAGGAACATCTCTAAAACTAAGCTCACCTGAAAGATTGACTTATTACAACAATAAAATGTTATAACTATAATGTAATATTCCCTTGTAGTTTGTGTGTTTAATATATACTTTCAACATAATGACACATCCCTGAAGGAACATTTCTAAAACTAAGCTTTTCTGAAAGTTTGACTTGATACAACAATAAAATGTAACAACTAAGAGTTAATATTCCATTGTAGTTTGTGTGTTTAATATATACTTTCAACATAATGACACATTCCTAAGATAAGTAACATCTCTAAAACTAGTTAGAGCGTACAGATAAAATATTGTATTTCCTTATTTAGGACACGTTTTAGTAAGTAAAACATATATGTATTTCTATTAAAGTTTAAATAACCTTTCTTTTGCCCATCTCTCCATTCGTGACTGAACACTAATGCAGGACCCAGTGGGGGTTATCCTTCCAAAACTAAAAGGATCAAAGGGAAAGTAGGGTGCATAAGGAGTAGTTGGAGACATCTGGTTACGAAGCATCTGTAACTGCCGTTCATACACTTGTCTTTGTTTCTCCAAAGCATCTAAAAGATGACAGAAAACATTTAGAAGTTAGTAAAATATTACAAGAGGGTGACGTTAGAAACTAATCCTCACATCAAGAGCTTTTTGAATATAAAAAAAATTCAACGAACAAAAAAAGTAGCATATATTTTTTTATGTAGCTGCAAAAAAAACAGGTAGAAAAAAGGTTATAAAGTTGGAGACAAACTTGTAATCATAGATGTGAAATATCATTTCCTTATAAAGATATGTTAAATGCACCCACTGTGTTTATCCTCTTCATGTTGTCTTTCTAAAGCTTTCATTGCAGACTGGATTGGATCATTACTAAGTTCTTTCATCATTAGCTCCTCTCTAGCAAATTCATAATCAATAGGTCGTCCAGATATATCTTGGAGTACAAGGAGCTGCAAAAGAAATATGACTAGTCTGTCAATGTTACACCTTAATATGTAGTTTCAGATATTCTAAAGCATGGAGTACAAGGAGCTGCAAAAGAAATATGACTATTCTGTCAATGTTACACCTTAATATGTAGTACCCTGAAGTACCTATGTAGAATCACATACTGCGATTAACCCTGAAGTACCCATGTGGAATTACATACTGTGATTAACCCTGAAGTACCCATGTGGAATTACATACTGTGATTAACCCTGAAGTACCCATGTGGAATCACATACTGTGCTTAACCCTGAAGTACCTATGTAGAATCACATACTGTGCTTAACCCTGAAGTACCCATGTGGAATCACATACTGCAATTAACCCTGAAGTACCCATGTGGAATCACATACTGCAATTAACCCTGAAGTACCCATGTGGAATCACATACTGCGATTAACCCTGAAGTACCCATGTGGAATCACATACTGTGCTTAACCCTTAACCATGTGGAATCAACATGGAAACAACCCAAATAATAATGTTTCCCTGTCTAATAAATCTGAAATTAAATTTTTGTCCTCTGGTGACTTCACTTGGAAAAGAATGAAATATTCAATGTTTTTTTTTTGTACTTTTTATCAATTTGCAATGGTTTGATCTAGCGTTGGAAACTTAAGAAATTGGAAGATGACTCACCGAGTTACTGAAAAAAAAAAAGAATTGTACGATTTTTTACAAGTACAAATAACATCACATTTCTTTATTGTTTTACAGCCTGTTAAAGTTTTTAATTCTGCTATCACAGAACAATGAGAATTGCTCTGCTATGTATGAATTTTCTTCATGGCACTTTTATACAACAGTAGGTAATTCCTAAAACAATCATGTCATGTTACATTTCATATGACTGCTAAAGATGGCAGTTTTGTTCTGGCAAAATTTCTAAATGTCGCCATACATGAACTCATGTAAAATTAAATCATGTAAAGTTTTTCAGATATATGAAAATCATGCATAACAATAATGATATTAAATGTTAACAATTTACATTCCTTTTCTTTTAGAGAAAATGGAAAAATTCATATATCAGTGAACAAGTTTCTCCTTCTGTCCACAAAACTTAAATGTGGGAACACTCACTATATAAACTTCTTTAAGAAAATATGATGACCTTAGAACAAAGTCTGTTTTGCTGTTATGTTCTAAGTATATTAATGATGAGACTCAAAATAATTATTCAAATATTCAATGCTATTAGGTTTATATTTTATATATCCATTCAGTCCTGTCTACGTATTACTGTGGGGAGTGGTGCCACTTTACGGAATTAACAAATGTTCATACATGGACTTGTTTTGGTTCCTTTATATTACAGTGTTTTAACTTGGATCTGTCTCTCAACTGTGGTTTACTTACTTTATCCAAATCTTAAATAAATGACATACACAACATTTATACAATCTTTAATTTTACAAGAAATTGCTCTAAAAAAATCACGTATTAGAGTGAAGACATTAATGCGTTAACACCCTAGTGTATTATTTTTAACCTCAAAGCTACATAATGAGCTATCCACTGCATGGATCAAACCCTCAATTTTAGCATTATAAGCCCTTAAGCTTACAAATCAGCCACCAAAGGGCCACTGTAGTGTAATGAAACAACACAAAAATTTTACTCTCAAGTTACACACTATATCTTACTTATGAAAATAAAAGCTGGATATTTCAACTTAACATTACTTACTCGTTGCTTTTGGACAGTTGACCCTAAAGAAGTGGTTGTTGCCCCACAAGACTCTGTCACCATGCTTTAACTGAGTTCTACAAGTAACAACTGACCCATTGACGCACGTCCTAACAAAATAATATATATATATATATATATTCTTTCTTTCACAGTACCTGTGAAACCATGATAAAAATCTACTGTTTAATTCTCATTTACAGAAGTGGCTACTCTCTCTTTACTATATTTTTAAATATAAAACATAACCAAAATAATTACATTCATTAATAAGAAATTACTTCTTTAAAACTGCTCTTGGAAATGTATATTTGTTTGAAATTATTCAATAATTAAAATATCAAAACATAACAAGAATTATAACATATTACATAATACTCAGTAAGTTTTAATGGATAGAACATTAATATATTTTATACTAGCTGAAGTACTTCTCTCCTGGACAGAAGTTATGTAAATTCATGATTAATGAAAGGTTCTCTTAGAACATGAATTGTTGCTTCCCTTATAATCCATCATTATATTAGCTTTATCACTGTTTATACCTATATATATATATATATATATTCATCAGCATGGTTGTTATATATGTTTTAAAATAAGTGGCAAATTCTGGTATCAATATATTTTCAATCAGAGTACACCTTAAATCTCTAGAGTTTAATATTCAAAAGTTTTTCATTATGTAATGTTCTAGATAATTCCTTCAATGTACTACTAAAGTTATTCTTTCGTTTCAAGTACAGAAAATAAGACAATTCCTCTTTAGTAAGAGAAAATAGCATAGCAGGCAGAAGGTTAAAGTATCTTAAAAATTAATGCCACAAACATTTATTACTTCCTAATCACAAAACCTGAAGCTCTCACTTTTAATCATTCAGGCAGATGGAAAAACTGTATTTGAGTGTTGGATTTATGGCAAAGCTACTACGGCTATCTGCCATTTTCCCTTATTTTGAACTATTGACCAGAAGGAAGGCAGCCAGTCAGTAACATCTTACCATCCACCATCCACTCTAAGGGATTGACTCTCACTCTTATAATGCATCCACAGCTTAAAATATTAGAAATATTTTGTGATATTGCACAGTTCAAATCCAGAGTTCTACCACAGGGCCAATCCATGCTCAAAACTGATAAAAGTAATTCAATAAAAGTTCAAGGATCAATTTTATTTTTGGACATTCCTAAGACTCAACTTAGTTGTAGAAACAGGAAACAAAATGAATAAAATTATTGACTAGTCAACAGTCTCTAATAACATTTTATTACTGTTTTTTGTCCCTCAGTCGATGAATATGTTTTATTTTATTTTTTTGGAAACAATCCAAGCTACTGATTGGTTTATACCCAAAAAGCTCTCAACTAATTCAGAATAACACCAATAAACCTTTTTTGTTTGATCTGCTAGTGTACTTTCTAGAAGCAAGTAGCTTCTACATGGCTCTTCTTGGAATTTGAGACACTTACCAAATGAAATAAACCATGCCAAGCACATTCTCTAACTATTGAAAGACTTTACAATATCTTGTAGAAGTCTCAAAATTACCACAGAGGTATACTTACCTAGCTCCATCTCTGGGAATTATAAAGACATCCAAGTATTCTACTGTAATGATGCAATGCTCTGGCATGATTCCCAATCCCAAGAGCTGTATATCTTGTTCAACTGGAGCATCCGGTCGACCTACTAATGTTTGATCCTGAAAGGAACAAAAAGTTACCTTCTAATTTCTCTAGAGACTCTAACTATATATCACGACATATAAGTCGATTTTTCTATAACAGAATGTTATACCAACTTATACAATGGACACAAAAAATTTAGGAAAATTCTTAATCGTCAGTTGGGCCTCAAGATTGAGTGAATCAATCTCTAGAAACACACCAAACAATAGTATTCATGCAAAGCCTTTGTTTTGAAATTATAGGAAATTATCTTATAAAGGTTGCAATGTGCATTCTAGTTGTCATTTCAGTGATGTATTCAACAGCTGAAAGTCAAAATGCCTCCAAAATGTATAAAATACAGCACAAAATTCAAGATTAAAACCATGAAATTTACCCAAAAGACCAACAACTATGCTGTGAGCAGGGGATTTGGCATAAATGAAAAACTTGTTCACGATTAGTGAAAACAGATAGGTAAAATTCTAATTCTGTCAGGAATGAAGTGTGCTGCTCGGGAATGAAAAACTAGGTTCCGGCCCGAACTGGAAACAGACCCCGTGAAATGGATTGACACAAATGGAAAGTCTGATCTGATTGTAACAAGAAATCAGATTATGATACAAGCTTGGTCCCACAACAGAAAACAATGCCTGCCCAATGATCAAGGACAACAATGAGGAATGTGATGTCAACGATGATCAGATAAGTCTAAGTGAATTCAGTGAACCTTTCGGCAATTCAGATTCTGAAGATGAGAACTTTGGTAGATTTTATATTTTGTTGTCAATAGTGTTAAATGAATTGTATATGAACCTTTCTCTGTAAATATTCATCTGTTTTTAGGAATATATGTATATTGTATATGCTTTCTGTATAATTTTTGGGGATAGACTTATATAACAGTGATCAGAAAAATTACAGGATTTTTTGGCCTAGGTTTAGGGGTTGACTCATACATCAAGTTGACTTATATGCTGCAATATACAGTATTTAATCCAGCCATATGTCAGTCATACACCTTATAGCAAGTTAATTAACAAAACAAAATTAGGTATAAACACACAGCTTAATATAGTTTAATAATATTATAAGCCAACTGTTTCTTGAAAATAATTTTATATAGGCCATTTTAAGTCTTTTTTGTATATCAGATCTTTGAATATCACTAACTTATGATGATCAAGATATATTATGAGAAGTTATACACTATGAAACATGAAAAATCAAAATGATATAGTGTTATAAGTAGCTTTTTCTCATTCATTTTCTTCAAACAGGCTTAGTAAGAATGAAAAAGTGTATAAATTCTGAAATTTGGAAGAGTAATGATACTTTGGACTAACATGAAAAATTAAGAAAGTAATTTAATATGTCAGTACTTTTGTCACTAACTAACAATTACAATACAGTTCCTATAAGATATTTCCTATAAAAGATCAAAAATAGATTTGGAACCATAACCAAGTTGAATGTGTTTTACAAATATTAGGTGCCTAAACCCACAATATCTAAGACCATGTGCTTCAACTCACAATGTCTAAGCCTAAGTGCCTAAACCCACACAATATCTAAGTCCAGGTGCTTCAACTCACAATGTCTAAGCCTAGGTGCCTAAACCCACACAATATCTAAGTCCAGGTGCTTAAACTCACAATGTCTGAACCTAGATGCAAAAAGCTTTAAGTTTTGAATAAATACAGGAACAGATCTTACAGGGATCAATCAGGAGTTCATTGCAGCACAGTTTAATACAATGATTTTCCCAAAAGATCTAATCACTTGCAAAATAAATGTCAATGAAATTCTGATCATTGGTTTATCTTGACCAGAGGTATACAGAGATAAGACAATCACATAACTATCTTTAACACCTTATTAGTTATTCATTTACTTCTTTAACATGTTATTTTGTTTCCTAAGCTCATCAATTTTGAACAAATAATATCTTCAAAAATTAAAATTAATTCAGATTTACTTACTTTAAGATAATAAACCAATAGTTCATTCAGAGATGGATCAGCATTCAGGTTGACCAAATAATGCTTGTCATTCTCCACTCTGATTCCAGAGGTTTGCACAGAAATGCCCATTTTTTCCAAGGCTTGCTGATGCTCCTAAAAAATCCAATTTCAAATTCAATGCTAATTTATAGTAAATGTCTTTTTTATGTTATTCATACATAAATATTTACACAAGGGTTCATTAGAAGTTTAGTTTTAATGACAAAAAAAATTACTTTAAAAGTTTAACATGTCGAATGTGTACTTAACACATCCATGCCATTCTACATCAAACGTTTTCATATTTATGGTTGAAGAACAAACGAAACATACATTAAATATTTAAAACGTTCGCAAGGAGCACGCATATTTATAATGTGTTACTAAGCTAATGTTCTATAAATATATTAAATCTTCCACACACACACATACAATGTAAATATTGCCATATTAATCAAAGACAAGAACGTTTCCAAAGTCCAGTTCCTACAAAATTTGACGTATAAAATATTCAAATACTCCGTTTTTCCATTAAACTCAACAACTCACCATTTTTATGCGGTTATACAATCCGGTCTAATAACACCGCTGGAGTTAGATTTTTTTTTCTACAAACTTGAACAACAAAAGAACAGTTTCTAAGGTCCCTCCGAACATATATACTTAAGTATGCATTAAATTAGAGTTTTGATTTCTAACTACCAGTCCAATCCACATAGTTTCGTACATCAATATCCATAAAAACTGTATCAGACAGCCAGTTTTAAATAGCTCTTACAAACGATCATATGCATATTTACATGTCGTTTTTTTTTTTTCACTGTGCAAGTGTAAGCGTATCTTTGAGAGCAGAACGCGAAATGTGCGACAAACTCTTATTTATCTAATTCTTCAGCTCTTTGTATTGACTGTCACTCTTATAATGCACAGACAGTTTAACGTGCAGTTTAATAGTTTGAGGTATCGCACGTCTTAATTATCACACTTACTTGTTTGGAATTTCGCCCAAAGCTATACGAGGGTTATCATCGCCCACCGCCAACTCTTGGGATACTTTTTTACTAACGAATAGTGGGATTGACCGCAAACGTTATAATGCCCCCACCGCTACAGGGGCGAGCAGGTTTGGTGGGACGGGGATTCAAACCCGCAACTCAGATTGCGAGTCGAGCACCCTAATCACCAGGACTCACACTTTATCGGCCCGGCATGGCCAGGTGGTTTGGGCGCTCGACTCGCAATCTGAGTTGCGGGTATGAAGACCCGTCGCACCCAACCTACTCCCCCCTGTAGCCGCAGAGGCATGGTTACGCTGGCCTTC